ATTTTACTAGTAGTTGATACTCCTGTACTTGTAGTTTTATGGCTGCTCTTGAAAGATGAAGACTCTAGATCCCTGACCTCCGCACATGGACTACTTTATTTATTAACATGGACAAAACTTTTATTTATTAACAACTTCATTTTTTACTTTAACATTTCATAAACACTACTGAGTAACATGCTGTAGAAAATGAACTTCTTTCAAAGGCATCAGGGCATTGATAAACTAGGAATCAGAGTCAATTATCTAGGAATAAATTAGGTTTAAAAGTGTCAATTAAGGCCGGGTGTGGTGGCTCACACCTGTAACCCTAGCACTCTGGGAGGCCAAGGCGGGAGGATCGCTCAAGCTCAGGAGTTCGAAACCAGCCTGATCAATAGTGAGACCTTGTCTATTAAAAATAGAAAGAAATTAATTGGCCAACTAACGATATATAGAAAAAATTAGCCGGGCATGGTGGCACATGCCTGTAGCCCCAGCTACTCGGGAGGCTGAGGCAGAAGGATTGCTTGAGCTCAGGAGTCTGAGGTTGCTATGAGCTAGGCTGACGCCACAGCACTCTAGCCTGGGCAACAGAGTGAGACTCTGTCTCAAAAAAAAAGTGTCAATTAAAATTTCTATAAAAAGTATGAGAATTGGGAAAATTTAACTCTGATGTACTGTTAAGGAATCTTTTTTCCAAATAAATTTTAGAAAATCATCCTGGAAATCTCAGATGAGTTAGATTTTAGGCACCACATAATGCACCTAACAACACTAAACCAGAAAGCCAACCTGGTTTCCACCTGGTGTGGCCGGTTAATGATAAATTACTCCCTCCCCTTAGTGTGAGGCAGGTAAGGCAGATGATGGCTCCACTCTGTAAACAAGAAATCTATAACACTAGAGGAAGGGAATCATTAAAGATCACAAGAGTTTTGTTTACAGCAGAATTTGGTGGTCCTGTCTAGCTGCCTGCTTCACTTTCTAGAATACAAATTTAAGGGGACATTTTAAAGTTTTCAACCTGAGAGATTCTTAAGTTGATTTCTGACATTTCTACGTCACTCCAATTGGATAACCCTATTATGTTTATAATTTTGAAGTAGAATTCCTTGGTTTTGTCTTCAGTTGCTTCCATTTCAGATTTCTTTTCTTTTTCTTTTTTGAGACAGGGTAGCTGTGTTGCCTAGGCTGGAGCTCAGTGGCCTGATCACAACTCACTGTAACCTCAAATTCCTGGGCTTAAGCCATCCAGCCACCTCAGCCTTCCAAGTAGCTAGGACTATAGGTGTACACCACCATGCCCAGCTAATTTTTTAAATTTTTTGTAAAGATGGGGTCTCACTACATTGCCCAGACCAGTTTCAAGGGATCTTCCCATCTCAGCCTCCCAAAGCACTGGTATTACAGGTGTGAGGCCCCATGCTCACCCTCCGTTTGAGATGTCTAAGGAAAAGTCTCTGAACTCTACTGAACATTGAGAGTTCTGAAGATACTCTTTTGAAGGTACTTTCAGGTACCAACGGGAAGAGGACCTTGCCTCTCGCAGTTATAATTAAATGGAAGCTAGCTCTAGAACTGACAGCAAACACATAAACAGGTATTATGTATTCTTCTAACCACACACGCAAGAATTATGATTACTTCTACTTTTTCCTACAACTAAATCATGTTATTTCAACTTCAAATTTGATTTCACACACAAAAAAGTTCTAGTAAATATCAAGTCCAGACATCACCTTCAGAGCTTCTAGTGGAATCCTGGGACAGAAAATGGGCATACCACACCTGATGATGACACTGAACAGAGTTTGTTGACAAAGGCAACACAAAGTGACTTAAGCGAGAGGGTATGTTTCATAAAGATTTAACCTATAGCCCATAAATATGGGAAGTGCCTTGGCTTACTGGGAGAAGTAAAAATTTTTTATAAGAAATATTTCTTCGGCTTCCATCCCCGAGTCCAATAGCAACGACAGGCCCTAAAATTCAAGCAGTTTCAAGGTATACTTTTGACAAATGTTTACCTAGGACTTCAGCTACGCCTATCCTTCTAGATCTTTTTGGTCTGCTGCTGCCTAAACTTCAGTAAGCCTGATAAATGGCTGCTCAATTCCTGATAACCCAGACTAACTGTAAATGAGTGGTAGGAAAGGCAGGTTTCAGAAAGACTGGCTTCATTTACTGTTTGGCTTCCAAGAATTGGAAAAAACTTAAAGAACTACTAGCCAGGCTGTGTTTGGTAGCTCATGGCTGTAATCCCAGCACTTTGGAAGGCCGAGGCAGGAGGACTGCTTGAGAACAGGAGTTTGAGACCGGCCCGGGCAACAGAGTAAGACCTTGCTTGTCTTTACAAAAAATTTAAAAACCAAATTAGACGGGTGTGGTGGCACTTGCCTATAGTCCCAGCTATTCAGGAGGCTGGGGTGGGAGGATCACTTGAGCTCAGGAAGTTTGAGGCTACAGTGAGCTATGATTGAGTGGCGCTCTAGCCTGGGCGACAGAGAAGCTGTCTCTTAAAACAAAAACAAACCCCAAAACAACTAACCAGACATCTTCATTCAAAGGGAAAGAGACTGACTGAAGGTTAAAGAAGTGATTTGCCCAAAGCCTTACGGTTGATTAGTTACAAACTGAGAACAAGATCCTCCAGGTGCCCTACAGCAGCCTAACAAGATCTCCTTTTCTCCCAAATATTTCACTGGACGTTTTCATGATATAACGACTCATACATTTGAGAAATTTTTATGTGGGGTGCACAAAGATACAGTACCAGAACCAGCAGCTTTGCAGCCTGAGGACTAGTAAGGTAAGGTGGGAGAATAGTATAGGGCTCAAGAGCTTGGGCTCCTGAGTCAGACTGCTCAGGCTTTTGCATTCTAGTGGTGTGACTTTAGATAAGCTAATCTCTCTACAGTTTCTTCAACTATAAATCGAGGACTATCAAACCTACCTTAAGGGCTGTTGTGAGAATTAAGCAACAACATAAAGTGTTCACTCAGTATGGTGGCCCTACACAAAGTAAGCACTCAAAAAGAATGTTATTAATAGTTACTGTTAACACCATACAGACCAATATTTACTGACAACATACACTGGACCAGCTTCGCTTAGGCTAGAAAAACTTGGATAGCTTCGATCACCACTGGAAAACCTGAGAGATGGAATTAGAGATTCTCCGGCAGGGCTGAAAAGTCTGGACCCAGCAGGCTAGAGATAAACGACCCACTTTATGACCTGACCTTGGAAGCCTTCCTGACCTTCACACCGATCTCAACTCCCAACTAGTCATCAAGACAGGAAATGTACTGGGGCCCCGCTATGTGCCAGACTACGTGAGACTCTTGCGCATTATCTTTATTTGGTGAGGAAACAAGATACAAGCACTTGGTATGAATGCTGAAGCCACTGTTAGGGCACCATTTCTTTCTTGGCCTAGGACTTCTTCCCAGTCTGTGGCCTCGAGTCGAGGCTGTACGTCTTGAAGGCTCTACCTTTACGTTTCTGGACAGCAGCTAAGGAGAATGCAGGCAGGCAGGAGACGCGTGCCTCAGGGGCTAGACTCATTTCAAAGGTAGGACGTCCCCACGAAAGGTTCGGGGACTGGACAGAGTCTTGGGGAAGTTCCCTGGTGGCCGTGACCTTGGTGGTCAAGACTCAGTTTGCCATCGTGCTGTCCGCAAGCGGTGACACAGGCCCTCAGCCAGGGCGGGTATGTGAGCCGAGCGCGGTACCGGGTTCCGGGGGACTGGGGATCCCACTCGGGTAGTCTCCTGGGGGCCCCTGTTTCCTCCTGTGGGTGTGGGGACCTCTGGCACTGCCTGGACAGAGCGCACGCGGCGCACCGGCCGCCGAGAGCAGGAGCAGAGGCCAACCCCGGCACCCAGGGCGAGAGGGTCCGGACGGTGGGGACGGCTCCGTCGGCCAGCAGGCGTGCACGTCGGCGGGGTCACGCGGCCTCTCCAGCCGGCTCGGGCCGCCTGTGGCGGGGTCGGGGCCGTCACCCCCAGCCCGGCCCTCCCAAACGACCTGGCGTGGCCTCAGCCCCGACAGCGTCCCGCCGCAGGCCTCACCTCCCTGCGCACGTTCAGCAACGAGTAATAGTCTTCATTGTCCAGCTCCTCCTCGCTCAAGGCCGTCGCCATCTTCGCAACCTTTCACCCCGCCAAACCGGCAAGGCCGTGCCCAAGAGGGCCCGGCGATCCACAGCCGGGCGGCGCGGGCCGGCCCGGCTGCGCCACAGCGGCCCCTGGCGGCCCGGAGCCGCCCGTGCCAGGCTGGCGCGCGCCCGCGCGGTGCGCCCCCGCGCGGCAGAGGCCGGTACACTGCATCCGGGTGGCCACGCTGTGCCCTCCACGTGCTGCCCACGGGCCCGCGCGTGGCGAGGCTGCGCACCCGGGCCTGAGCCCCAACCCTAGGCCCTTTCCTGAGCTAGGAAGGGAAACTTTAAAGTCGGATCTGGGGAAGAAGCGCGCGGTGCCCCCGGGGCAGGACGCATCCAGATCCCAGACGGGCTGCCCCCACCCGCCCACCAGAGCCCTGCCGGCTCTGTGGCCCCACTTGCTGACTTCTGTTTGCACAGATAACCTGCAAAATGAGATTTGTCCCTCTCCCCATTATCTTTTCCGTCGGCCATCCTGAATCCTCACCGCCCAGAGAAGGGGCCTTCCTCATCTTAGTTATTTAGTGTTGCCCTAAATTTAGGGGCGCCTGTCCATCTTTTCTGCTGCTTAAATGACGAGGCCGTACTCCCTCCTTTGGTTCCTAATATAATTGTCTCTGACAGGCGTGTGCACCTACGGCCCCTACCCCTGAGCCGCTCTTCTGTAAATTTCTTTCTTGTAATTTAATGGTGGAGTCTAATTGATTTCAACCTGGTGCCTGCTGTTTGGTGCATTATTAAAGATGTCTTGGTTAAAATTACCTAAATAATTTAAATGACTTTGAAATGGTGCCATTGTCAAGAGAAGGTGGGCAGCAGCCCATACTGTTGCCACCTGTTTGGTTCTTGCTGCCCAGTCCCAATTCTCAGGAACCTTTGTTGTTCCTTTACTAGCCAGCAGTCCAGAACCATCCCTGTTGCCCTTCGTAAGCAGGTCTCCTGGGAAGCTGCAAACACCTGTCAGTGGGTGTGAGAAGTTGATTTCATTCTCTTTGTAATTTTTAGCCAGATGTGCACCATCTGGGCCCATGTATCGTTTCTTCCAAGTTGCCCTGTCCTCTTAGGATCCTTTGGCGTGAGATGCTTAGGTGTGCTGAGACGGATTGTTCAGGAGTGTTTCGTCAGTCTGGAACTGCCAGCCAGGTTGTAAATTAAGGGCTATTTCTTTAGGTGTGTGAGGCTTCCCCTCAACAGCTTCCATGGTCCATCAGCTCTTAAGGAATTTTTATGGGCTTTTCTTTCTCCTCCTTTGCAGAGCTGTGATTAGAGCTAAACTGCATGCTGACATTGGCTGGTCTTTAAGAATTTCCTTCAGAGGGGCTGGGGGGAAGAAACTACAATGTTGAGACATTTCTTTTTTCTTTAGGTTTGTAGACATTAACTGGGCCATAATGCTCACTTGGGTAGAGAAGTTCTTGCCATCCCTCCTCTGCTTTGGAAAACACAGCCTCTACGAATTATATAAATGGAACATAACATATGTTTCGATACGCCCAGGTCTGTGTTTCTGTGGTTGAGAATGACCTGGTTTTTATCACCACTCAAACAAGATAAATAGTGACTCAGGGAATGCTCTATGTCTGTCCTCTCTTGGGTCCACGGGATTTTGTTAGGGCTACTTGGCAAGTGGCTGTGATGAATGGAAAGCTGACTTGGACACACCACAGACCTGAGGAATAGGTTTGCTTCAGAGGCCGGCTCGCTCACGTCTTCCCTCCAAAAACCCTAATCTGCAAAATAATGGAAAGTGGGATCAGTGCAAATTTATAGGTTAAAAACACACATCCCACAACTCAGAGCAACTGACAAAACTCAGCCACTTTAACTCACGCCTTGCGCTTTTGTTTTCTTTTTATTAGGTAAAACCACAAAGCAATTTGTAACTTAGCTGTAAAGCAAAACCTAATATACCTATGTAATATATCACTATATGTACATGTGTGTACATATTTTATGTATGCATATGTTATATATAATACATACATATATGCAACTGTTATTGAATTCTTTCATCTTTAAATTGTAAATATAAGGACATTTATTCATATTCAGAATGACCCCAAGACATTTTGGCTTCCAGCACAGGAAAGTTTTTTTGTTTAATGGCTTAACTCAGTGCTGGGCCCTGCCTTCTAGCATATACTGGAGGTGGGATTGTCAGATTAAATACAGGATGCCCAGGTACATTTGAATGTTAGGTAAATAATTTTCTAGCATAATTATACTAATATTCGATGGGAGCAGATACATATACTGAATAACTATTTGTTGTTTATGTGAAATTCAATGTACCTGGGCATCCTGTATTTTTATTTGCAGCCCCAACCAGAGGCCCTTCGGTCCTCCTGCCTTTTCCTTGGTGACAGTCGTGAGAGGAGGGGTGGGCAGCCTTCTCCCACCCCTTTGACAGCTGAGCTGAATCCACACCCCTTCTCTATAATTCAGGAGGAAAAATTACCTATAATCTTTTTATTACGCCGTTGTCACTGAGTCCAGACTGGGATTTAGTGCTTGCTTGCCATTCATAGCCTGTCCCTCCCTTCCCTCGTGAGCACTGATAACCCTGTTAAAGGAGATCGGGAACAATCTTTAGCTAAAGGAAAGAAGGGAGAATTTGAAGGCATTCAAGGATTAAATTTTCTCGATATTATCTGCTCCCTGAGCATTCAGTGCCTAGTCACTTTAGCCAAGGTGATCATTGCAGACGGGTTGAGGTACTCAGAGGAAGAGCCACACCTGTCTCTGCTGAGACAGCGGCCCAGAGAGGCTGAGGGGTCGCCCCTGGTTGAGGGTCTCAGCCCACTCGGCATGTTACCTGCAGTGACATCTTCCATTGTGCCTGTGGGACTGTTTTTCCCTGCTGTTTTGGACTTTAGGTCCTTGATCCTCCCTATGAATCCAACCCGATCCATCAGCACCCCTGGAGGGACGCAGCTGGATCCGGTTCCCATCTGCTTTCTCAGCCATTCAGCGGTATCACAGCCCTTTGTCCTTTGGCTCTGTCCAAATTCGGTCTGTCCCCGTGGACTACACTTCCACACTCCTCCCAGGCTGTCAGGAGTGGCTGGAGAAAGTCTAGGAGAGCACAAAGTTCACGCCCTCTGCCTTCGACTGGACCACAGTGTTGCTTGGCCGTTTTACTTCCGTCTCTTATTAACGCCCTGTGCATTCCCCCCGCAGTGTGTCCTCCGCTCATCTTGAGGTTTGGAGACAGAGTCCAGGACTGGGCACTGGGGTCTCAGCAGTTCCCACGAGGGAAACGAGTTCAGTGCTGCTGGGATTGACACGCCAATGGGCGGGTGGGGGCGGGGCGCAGACAACAAGCCGGTTAGTTACTACACGGGGACATGTGTGTCAGTGCTGTGATAAAACACATCTCAGCGAGGCGAGTGCATGTCGGTAGGTCAGGCAAGGTCTACCCCAGGAGGTCCCTGTGAGCTGAATGACGAGAAGGACCCAGCCTTGCGAGACCTGGGAGGTGAAGCTTCCGGGGCAACGGCCCTGGGGTGGAAACTGAGAGCCCGAGAGCAGAGGCTGAGGAAGCAGGCGAGGCAGTAGGACACGGTGCGAGAGGACCCAAACCAGGGCTGGGCCACTGAGGGCTTTAAAGGGGGTGTCAGGAATTTAAATTTTCTCCTGGCCACAATGGGGAGCATTGAAGGATTTTAAGCAGGGAAGTGACATGGTCTGATATTTCCCCCCTAAAAGATCACCCCAGGGAGATCGGGTTAAGGGAGCAAGAACGGAAGCATTCCGCCGCTGCTACTCCACTAGGTCTTTGCTGTGTTTCCGGGAAGAGACGCTGGTGGCTTTGGACTTGGACTAAGCAGGGAGCAATGGGATGGTCAGACATAGACTACACATGGGACTGGATTCAACAGGAATTTGCGATAGATTAGGTCCTGGAGGATGAAAGAAAGAGAAGAATCAGTGGCTACTCCCATAGTTTGGCTTGAGCTGCTAGGTAATAAGGCCATTTACGAGCTGAGGAAGACTAGGGAAGAGGCAGGCTCAGGAGGGGAGTAAGCAAGAGCTCTGTTCTGGAGTAGAGCGAGGTCTCTGTTAGGCTCCCAAGTGGAAGCACCTACTGCTTCTGCTTCCTCTACTGCTCACGCTTGAATTCTTTGCCATCCAGAGCTCATGCCCACCGTTTCATGAAGGTCACTATCTCAAAGTTGCGTGTGACTTCTTGAGTTCCAAATCCAGGGGCATTTGTTTACTTGCCGTCTGCCTGGACTAAGCAATATTTAACGAAATCACCCACCTTCTCTTTCGTTGTAACTTCTCCATCCTGGACTACTGAGCTTTCTCTCTCTCTCTCCCGTGTTTCTCTGGACCTGTCCCTCTTTCCTTTTCCTTCTGCCTGGCATTTAGGACCCTTGGTGATCTGGGTTCACATGTCTTTCAGCCTTATGCCCTCTGACTTTCCTTCACGGATCTTTGGTTCTAGCCAGAAGAAAGATCCTGCTAACTCCTGGACCACTCCTGGCAGGTCCTTGTCTGTCGTCCTTGGCTGCATCTCACTGACCTTCAGCCTAAACAACGCCCTGTGGCATTTCCTTGAGTGGGGCCTGGGCTTGGAGAACTCTCTCAGCTTCTGCTTATCTAAAAATGCCTTTCTCTTGCTTTCATTAATAAAGGATATTTTCTCCGGGTAGAGAAATTTGCTTCGGTGGTTAGTTTGTTTTCCAGCACTTTGGCGAAATCGTTTCACTTCCTTTAGCCTCCTGTCATGACTGCTGTGAAGTGATTCTTTCTTTTCTCTTTGGGATTCCAATAAAGCATGTGAGGCCTTCTCAGCAGATCAAGTGTACTTTTTATCCTCTCTTGTGTCTTCCTTCTTTTTATCTCTACGGCTTCTTTGTGGAGAGTTCCCTCTGACCAAGCTTCCCCTTCCGTAATTCTGTAGTTCTCCTGCAGAAACCTTTTCCCTGCTTTATTGGTATAGGTAAAGCGGGCCAACCTAAATAGCAAACAGAGACTCTCTAAAACACTGGTCCCCAACCTTTTTGGCACCAGGGACGGGTCTCACGGAAGACAATTTTTCCACGGATGGGGTGGGGGTGGAGGGATGGGCGTGATGGGAGTGGCTGTAAATACAGGTGAAGCTCCGTTCACTTGCCCGCTGCTCACCTCCTGCTGTGCGGCCTGTTCCTAACAGGCCACAGGCCAGTACCGGTCCTTGGCCCATGGAGGGTTGGGGACACCGCAGTTCTAAAAGAAAAATATATTTTCGGGGTATTTATTTGGGAAGAGGGCATGCAGTGGGAATGCACATGCCATAGTAAACTGTGTGTGTATTTCAGGAAGTAAAGGAAGACAAAGGCTTTTAAAGGAAAAAAATGAGGATTACGTGATTGATTTGAAATAATTATCCTTGGCTACAAGGATCAATAACAAGCATGACACCAGTTCAAGGTTGGACAGGCAGTTGCTGGGGAGATGTCCTCGAAGAAGTATTTTTTTTGTGTAAGGTTGTGATGGCCTTTGTACAAGGTTGTGGTTTTGCAGTCTTTTGTGATAGTTTTTGCTGCCAGGCGCAAAGCATGAGAACCCTTTCTTCATATCTTTCCTTGGCTCTATTTGTCAGGGTATTTTTTTTTAAACATTAGTAACTTTATTTTGATTATGACAACTACTACAGGTGCGATAAAATGCATATCTTTAAACGATTTTATGGGTTCTGATACATGTATACGCACAGGAATCCATTATGATCATTAAAATAATGAGTATTTCCATCACACCTAAACATTTCCTCATACTGCTTTAGAGTCTATATCTCTTCTTCACTCCCATCTCCGGGCAACAACTGACCCACTATTATTATAAATTAGTTTGCATTTTCTAGAATTTTATATATGGAATCATACAGCCTGCTCCAATCCTGCATCTTCCCTACACTGTCGCTGTAGGGCAACACTTTTCCTTTCTCTGGTATTGGCACCCTGTTTCTTGAATGCCATGTTTCTTTCTTTATTGTTTGTTTTATTTCATTGTTTTGATAGAGAAAATTGTCCCAAAGTTTTTTGGGAACTTGGATGTCCTTATGCTACCTTTATATTTGATAGATAGATAGATTAATAGGTAGATAGTTTGGCTGGATATAAAAGTCTAGATTAAAAAAAAACTTCCTTGGATTTTTGAAAAGATGTTATTATATTATTTTCAACTTCCCAGTATTGTTAGCAGTAAGACTGATTCTGTTCTAGGATTTATAACTCTCTTATTTTTTTCCTTTGGAGATATTGTTTTTATTCCTGGTATTCTGAAATTCCATGTGGTATACCTTGTATGGGTCTTCTAAAATTTATTGTACTGTGCACTTAGAGGGCTCTTTTAACCAGAAAAGTTGTGTCTGTCACTTTTAGGAAAATGATCATATAGTTTGTTCTAAGCCTGCATCTTCCCTGTTTGTATCTGATTGTTTGATAACTTAATTCCACTGGTGTTCTTTGTCCTTTCTTAGTCAAACTCTGTTTATTGTGATGTGAGACCTCCTGGACTGATTCTCTAATGTTGTTCTCTTTTTTATTTCCCTTCTTGTGACTTTTTAGTCTTTTGTTGGAGATCTCAACTATATTGCCCAATCCTTTCATTGACTTTTAAAAATTTCTGCAATTATATTATATTTTTTAATTTTCCAGAGCTCTTTCTTATTCTCTGATTGTTCTTTTTTTTTTTCTTTTAAAAGAGTTTCATGGATGCAAGATGTTTTCTCATATCTCCAAGGATGTATTTAAGTTTTATTCCACTCCCTAATTGTTTCTATCACTAAAAATAACCTGGTTTTTTTTTTTCCTGTTTGTTTTGGTCTGTGTATTTGTGGGGGACCTCCCTCAGTGCTCTGGAGATCCTTGGCTGTCTATTTGTGGGAGCTCCATGTCATGTTCAAAGCTATTTCTGGTGAGCCTCTCAGAGAGTCATCAGGTAGGGTCCCCCAGATGTAAGATCTGTAGATTTTTTACTCTAGGGTGGATCAGTTTACCCAGAGAGGAGTCCTCTTTTCTCCTGCCTGGGACAGGTAAAATTCCCGCAGGGAATGGGGCTGGGAATAGCGTCTCAGTGCCCAGGTGTTCACATAGTTCCCATATTTGGTACAACATCTGGTGTCTAGCTATGCTCTGATGTCTAGACTCCGAAGTCTTTTGTTGAGCCCCACCAGTTAATAACCTTCCTGTAGGAGTGGGCGTGATGTAGTTGCTTGGCCGGGTAGACTGGGGAAGGAGATTTGGGGCTTTTAATTGTTCTTCATATAGACTATCAACAGCCCCGCCCAGCCTGCCATTCCTGAACCACTGCTGGGTCCTGCAGCATAAACCAGCCACTTTCCAGGTGCCATGGGTCCTTCCATTTTACATTTTCCAAAATTTGGTTGGTACTTTTTCTCTAAAGTCATCTCCTCTTCCATTTATTTTGTCCATATGCATTTATACTTGATTAATTTTTAAATTATCGTTCTATTCCTGAGGGAGCAAATATAAGCTGCATGTGTTTAATCAGGTATAATGAAATTCCCTTTGTACAGCATAATGTTATGCCACTTATCCATTTGTGCCACTTATATTCCACTTATAAATTTCCATCATTTAGAAATTTATTTCTGGTGGCTGAGTGTGGTGGCACACGCCTGTAGTGCCAGCTACTGGTGGCGGTGAGGCATGAGGATTGCTTATGCCTGGGAGTTCAAGCCTCCAGTGAGTTGTGATGATGCCGCTGCACTCTAGCCTAGGCAACAGTGCAAGACCCTGTCCAAAAAAACAAAGAAAGAAAGAAATTGATTTTTTTCTGTTAGACTGTAAGTTCCTTAAGACAAGTGCTTTCAATATTTCGTGTCTATATTTCCAATAGCATTGTGTGCCTGGCATACAGTAAGTGCTGCAGGCATGCCCATGGAGGCATGTATTTAATGTATAGTAGTCCCCTCCCTCACCCACGATTTCGCTTTCTGAGATAGTAGTTACCCTCTGTTAACTGTGGTTTGAAAATATTAATAGAAATATGAATTCTATTAATATAGAAACAGAACATTCTAGAAATAGAAAATTCCAGAAATAAACAATTCATAAATTGCACACCATTCTGAGTAGCGTGATGTAATCTCATGCTGTTCAGCTTTGTCCCACCTGGGACATGAGTTGTCCTTTTTACCGGTGTGTCCACTCTCTGGAAGCTGCCCAGCCGGTAGTTGCTTAGTAGCCATCTTGGTTAGGAGATCGACTGTCGCGTGATCAGTGCTTGTGCTCAAATTCCCCTTACTTTATTTAATAAGCACAAGGGTAGTGATGCTGACATATTGTTGTAATTGTTCTATTTTATTATTACCTATTGCTGTTAATCTCTTACTGTGCTTAACTTACGAATGAAACTCTATCATACATATGAATGGATAGGAGAAAACAGAACCTATGGAGTTCCGTACTATCTGAGGTTTCAGGCATCCACCGGGGATTTTGGAATGTATCCCTTGCAGATAAGGCAGATAAGGGGGGACTACTGCATGCTAAACTGAGAGGAGAGAAAGAGCTGGAAACAAAAGTTGATGGAAGTGGAGATGCCAGAAGATGTTTTCATCCACTGCTAGGCAGCGGGACAGAGTTCAGGTTTGAGTACCAAGGACCTCAGGATCAGAACCATTGTCAAGGAAAGCCTAAGTCTGTCCTCCTGAGTCGGGGTAGCCCAGCCCTCTCTCCAGTGTCCCTGAGCTCTGCAAGCACATGGCTCTGCCATTTGGTAAGCCTCCCGTCTCGGTCTGCTTGGGCTGCCATAACAAAATACCGTAGACTGGGTGGCTTAAATAGACATTTGTTTCTCACCATTCTGGAGACTGGAGAGTCCAATATCAAGGCCTGGGCAGATCTGGCATCTGGTGAGGACCCTCTTCCTGGTTCACTTCCATCTGATCGCTGTGCCCTCATATGGCAGAAGGGCTGAGGGACCTCTCTGGAGTCTCTTTTTACAAGGCACCAGTCCCATTCATGGGGCTGCACCCTCACGACCTCGTCACCTCCCAAAGTCCCCACCTCTAACACTTGGGGGTTACGACTGGAGCATATACATTTTGGGAGCCACAAGCATTCAGACCATGGCACTGCTCATCTCCGTTCCATGGCCGGTGAGAATCTGGAGAAGAGACCATGAAAGTGGCTTTGTCACAGAGGGTGCGTGAGTGGGGACCTGCTTTGACGGCAGAGGCAGGTCAGGTTTGAGGAAATGGTTCCTTTTACATGAAATGCCAACTTAAAAACTTCTGGGATTCTTGTTGGTTGGCTGGTTTGTGTTTTGCTGCTTTGTTTTTACATGAGTTTTTTTCTTTTTTTTTTTGCATACAGGGAGTTAACCTGGGAATTTAAAGGCAAATTTAAATGGACTTGGGACAGTCAAAGGGGGAAAGGAATGTTCCTTAAAAAATTGTTTTATTGAGGTTAAAATATATATATATATATACAATTTACCATCTTTCCCGTGTTTAAGTGTGCAGATCAATGGTAATAAATACATTTATATTGTTACATGAGTATTTTATCTTCCAAAAATATTAGGAGTCCTGGGGGCAGGGGATGGGAAATGGATGAGTTATTATTTAATGGGTAAAACAGATTTTCAGATTTGCAAGATGAATAGAGGTCTGGAGATTGGTTGCACAACAATGTGAATGTATTACTACTTAACATTACTTAACTATATGCTTGAACATGGTTAATATGGTAAGTTTTATGTTATGTGTATTTTATCACAATTAAAAAATTTAAAAACTAAGCCAGGCATGGTGGCACACATCTGTGATCCCAGCACTTTGGGAGGACAAGGCAGAAGGACCACTTGAGCCTAGGAGTTTGAGGTTACAGCAGTGAGCTGTGATCATGACACTGCACTCCAGCCTGGGTGACAGAGCAAGCCTCTGTCTCTAAAAGAAAATTAAATTAAAATTAACATTAAGAAATATATGTATTGGGAGACTTGAACTCTTGACTTTGGGTGGTTTTTGAAGCTAGAGACTTTGTTCCTATCCTTACCGTCATCTAGAAAGCCGAGCTATAAGCAGGAATGCTATTGGTCAGCCAGGGATGGAAAGTTCCAGAAGGCAGCCAAGTCACCACCGCTTAGTGCCACACCTGCCACACAACGCTTGGAGCTTTTTGTTTCTGAGTGAATTTTCAACTTTAGGGAAGCACAGCTTCAGTCGTATGCAGAGGCTGGCCAAGGCCTTAGTTCTCCAGTGTTAAGGCTAAGAAACTTCTAATGAGGCCGGAGCAGGGTTTCCTACCTCGGCGCCACTTACATTTGGGGTTTGGATGAGTCCTTGGTGTGGGAGCCGACTTACGTACCGGAGGGGAGCTAGCAGCATCCTGGCCTCTACCCGCTAGATTCCAGTGACACCACTCCCCAGTTGTGACAACCACAAATGTTTACAGACATTACGAAAAAAATCACCGGGAGGTGAGGGGCAAAATCACCCCTGATTGAGAACCACTCGAGACGAAGCTGTCCACGAACCACAAGGATCTCAGTGCCCACTTTTCTTTTCCAACACCGGCTTTTCCTACTGCGTCCACTCTGAGCACAGTTTTCTAGCTTCTAGAATACAATGAATTGGAAAAGAAAAATATTTAGGCTGCTGTTTAAGGAATGTTTACTACGTGCCAGGCACTGTGCTGCCTGATGAATGGTCTCATTTAATCTTTTCAACAGTTCTCTGATGTAATTATGAACAGTCTCACTTTGCAGTTAAGAAAACCAGAATTTAGAGAAGTACTTGTCCCAGCTCGTGGAGCTGGGAAATGGAGAAACCAGGATTCACACTCAGTTTTGATTCTTAATTATTGCTTTCATGTTCATTTGGTTTATTTATTTATTTATTTCCACTTTTAGATTAATGTATGGGATGTTGTTCTGGGGAATTTTTTGCCTTGTGTGTGTGATGACAACAGCTTGATTTTATCATTTCTTGGCATAGGTGGTGTGTGGATGTCACCTAGGACCCGCCAAGGCAGAGGATGTTATATTGTCTGCTCGACATCTCCGACTCCAAGATAAAGTCTCTATGAGTTAGGAGGCAAGTACGTTACTGCATCCACCGGAGAAAAGCCGGTGAAGGGGCCCTAACATTGGGTCCCTTCCCAGTGTACTGAGGCTCAAATGTCCCTTAACCAGCAGAGGGCAGACTTGTGGTCCCAATGAACAGACGTGTGCAAGGAAAACTGCACTTGAAGGTTTAGAATAGAGAGGGGGAAGGTTTGGGGGGAGGGGGAATGGCACCTGCAGCACCTGCTTGCCCAGAGGTGGGGCTGTTTTTATATTTTGTGGACAGTATTGTTTGATTTTTCTGGTTCTTTTATTTATTTATTTATTTATTTATTTATTTTTGAGAAAGAGTCTCACTGTGTAGCCCGGGCTAGAGTGCCATGGCATCAGCCTAGCTCACAGCAACCTCAAACTCCTGGGCTCAAGCGATCTTCCTGCTTCAGCCTCTGAGTAGCTGGGACTACAGGCATGTGCCACCATGCCTGGCTAATTTTTTCTCTATATATTTTTAGTTGGCCAGCTAGTTTCTTTCTATTTATAGTAGAGATGGGGGTCTCCCTCTTGCTCAGGCTGGTTTTGAACTCCTGACCTTGAGCGATCCACCCGCCTTGGCCTCCCAGAGTGCTAGGATTACAGGTGTGAGGCACTTCGCCCGGCAGATTTTCTGGTTCTTTTAAAAAATGCATGACCTCCACCCACAGGGATAACATGGAGTTGACATACCCCGTTAGCTTTGCTTTCCTAGTCTCGACTTTTCATTGTTCAGCTGATCCTGCTCTGTAGGTATTATAGGAGCAAGCGCTGATCCTGCTGTGAAATACCACTAAGGAGGAGAGGGTTTTCCTCCACATGCTCCTTTTTGGTAGGTTCTCAGGGGCTCGGTGCCATGACTGCAAAGTCAGACCATGTGTTCAGGCCCCAGCGTGTTTGCTACACGAGGCCCCAGCACGCTGCTCCATGCAGGATGCGGAATCCGGAAGGTGATGGATGTGTTAACAAGAGGAAAGTCACCCGGGCCTTTACTGCTCGAAGAAGGAAACCACTCACAGAACCTTGAGCCAAAATCCAGTCCGGGCAGAAACTCCGATGCACTTACCCAAATCTTTACTTTCACCTGCTCACTTGCATGAAAATCCCAGACAGGGTCAACAAAAGCCAGGGGTTCTCCAAGTTTTTTAAGTTTCCTGAAGAACCAGGCTTTCCCCTGCCACCTGGCCCTCTACCAGCTCCTTGTAACTAGATATCTGCCTAGTAGAGTCACATGAATCACGACAAACTGTTCATACAGGGGCTTTTCACTTACTGTCCTGTTACCAACAGCATCTCGGGGTTGGGGGGAGCCAAGCGTCTTCAAAATCTCTTCTGCACTGGAGTTGCAGAGCGTGGTAAGTACTTTGCCCTTTTAACTCTTCTGTCCTCCTCACTCCCAAACGTGATTATGTTTAAGTTTAAGGTTGTTGCTGAGCCTAGCATGCTGGTCGTTTGGGGGAAATCCCAAGAACACGAGGGATACTGCTTCTTCAGTGGAGGCTCAGGGCAGTTCTCCTTAGGTGACCAGCATACGCCCATGCCTTTCATATGAGGTTCAAGTAACTAGTTTCTTGCAAAGACCACAAAAGGACAAAAGTTTCAAGGTTTGGAATCACCATGGCAACGCCCCAGATTCCCTGCTGTGCCCAGGTCTTGGAATGATAGGAATTGGCCAAAGCATCCAGAGCCACAGAGTCGCTCATTTGGTGCTCTGAAGGTGAAGTTTTGCAGTTGCCAGGACACAGTCTCCTGTTATGTGGGTGTCGTGAGTTGACTAGTGGCGCCCTGAAGATATGTCCACGTCCTAACTCCCAGAAGCTCTGAAGGTGAGCTTATTTGGAAAAATAAGGGTCTTTGCAGATGTGATTAAAGATCTGGAGATGAGATCATCCTGGATTTAGGGTAGACTCAAAATCCGATGACAAGTGTCCTTATAACCAAAAGGGAGAGGGAGATTTGAGACACAGTGGCACAGGGGGAGAAGGCCACGTGAAGACAGAGGCAGAGACTGGAGAGATGCAGCCACAAGCCACAAGCCAAGGAGCCACCAGGAAGGATTGGATCTGCTGACACCCAGATTTTAGACTTCTAGCTTCCAGAAATATGAGGACATACATTTCTGTTGTTTCAAGCCACCATGTTTGTGGTACCTGTTCCAGCAGCCTCACAGAAATCATATTGATGGTGGGGGGGACTTCTGCCCCTCACCCTGTGCCTTCCTACGCTTGGGGGATAGCAGAGAGCCCTTCCCCCTAGACTGAAGAACACAGTTTTTTTCTTAAGAAAACAGAAAGGTAATGCAGTTTTTGGAAGGGTCATGCAGCCAGTCGGATCATCAGAATTAACTCTGGGGTGAGTGGCTCTGCTTGGGCCACGGGCATTTGCCCCAGAGAACTGTAAGAGCGTCTTTCTACAATAGCTGTGGGTAGGGCTCCTTGGTTTGTTTTTGTTCCCCCCTGTCCTTCCCTCTACCTGAAGCTCATCTGAAAGCTAGTTTTACATTGCTGCTACCCTTTTCTCACTCTGGTCAGAATCCTCTTTTCTGTGGCATCATAAATGGTTTCCATGGAAACAAAAGGTTGGGCTAGAATGATGCCAATGTGCATGTAAACTTCAGAATTAAACAAGGGCTGTTGTTTTTGCCTGCCACGGAGTTTCATTCATTCTGCTCATGTCACAGGGGACGTTGGCGTGTGCAGCCATCGCTCCTTGGTTTTCTACGCGGTTCCAACCTTCCTGGCTTAATGAAGTGTGGAGCCGCCCAGGGACAGCCGGGATCTTCATGTCTCTCATTCTTCAGGCTTTCTCGTAGTTTTGGCGTGTGCATGTGAATGTCAACAGGTGAGGTGAGACATGCTGTAAATAAGCAGATGGTCCCACAGGGTAGACTGTGGGTGAGATGGAAATTCTAGCGGGAGATATCACAGCCGAAGACTACCAGTCCAGAATCATCATTTGTTTAGTGCGTGTTTCAGAACCAGTGAGCAGAAGAGGAGAGTAGACCCAAGACCACGGGCCTGCCCTCCTGACCGTGACTTTGCATCTGCTTCCCAGGAGTACTTAGGACACAGCTACCGACGTGTGCAGACTTCTCCAAGGTAGTTTAGGCACTGGCAGAAATAGACCTTAACCGATCCTCTGGCTGGTTCCCAGCAACTGAGATGTGCACCTGGTGGAGGAGCCCAGGTAGAGGCTCTGAGTTGCTGAGGCTCAGCGCCCTTGCCTTACGAGAGATACCACCTGGCTGTTCTTACTTCAGAGTAGGTGGGATGACCATATTACCACCCAGACCAGACTGCTTTTCAGAATGAGAGAGCCACTATTAATTATACAAGGACAATAGGTATCATCTGGTCAGCCCCTGCAAAAGAGGGACATCTGCTAACCCTAAGTGTAGGCCAGCCTGTTCCCAGCTCCACCGTGGATGGCAGTGTTGAAGTGCTCTTGGCCTGACGCCCCGGTTCTGGAGGTGGATGGTTGCACAATAATGTGAATGTACTAACTGCCACAGAACTGTACTCTTAAACGTGGTTAGAATGGTAAATTCTATGTTATGCATTACATATTTTACCACAATTAAACAACGAACCTTCCGACGATCCCTCCAAACCTGCTCCTTCTGCTGACTTCTCATCTCAGTCAATAGCAGCCCTCCTAATCTTCCCATCTGCTGGCGCCAAAGGCCTCCCCTCTCTCTCAGAGCCCACGTTTGGCCCAAGCAGATCTCGCTGGCTCCACCCTCAAACACGCGTGTCCAGGGTCCCAGCACGGTGCAGGACACCTGTCGTGCTAGTCTGAGGCTCACTGTTTCTCTCTTGGATATAATGACAGTCACGTACCTGAACTTCTGGGGTTGCCCTTCTACATACAGCGCCTCCTTAGGGGGAATCCTGCTAAATGTCGCAAAGTGCCCACACACAGCTGCATTGGCTTCCCATGTCACCGGGGGTACCCACAACCCTCCATTATCCGTCTTCCGTCCCTCCCCCATCCCGGCCATGGTTATCTCCCACCCTCTCCCTGTTGTCCACGCTGCTCCTGCCACTTCGGTCTCCTCCTGCTCTTGAGACGCCCCAGGCGTGTCCCTGCCTCAAGGCCTTCGCCCTTGCTGTTCCCCCTGCCTGTGACACTCATCCCCCCAAATCTAAAATGCCTTGACGGCCCCCCCGCCCCTTGTCAGGTCTGCGCCCATATCTCAGCGCCTGTCTCCCAGCCCTCCCCAGGCCATTGTGAAAAATTCCAGTATCCTCTCACTGCTTCCTGCCCGCCTTGCTTTGGCGTTTTCTGTCCATCGCGCTGCATGTTTTACTTCTCTTGTTTATTTTCACTCTTCCCCGCTAAAATGTACGGTGGTTAAAAATCTCGTTTGTTCTCTGCTTTTCCTACGTGCCCACATCAGCGCCGGACGTATATTAATACTGGGCGCCTAATAAATATTTGTTTAATGAATGCGGGAATCCAGACATGCAGGGAATTACTGGGGAATCAATCACTTTTAGGAAACATTCTTCGACTGGTGTGTGGCCACCGTAACCTCTTTCCACGTGTTCGTCCTACTGTCGTGCTCCTGTAAGGCTGGCCTACGTTTTCATTTAACTCAGTGGTTCTCAACCAGGGGGCCTTTTTCCACCCCCTCAGGGGACATTTTGCAATCAATGGAGACCTTCTTTTGTTTTCACCAGCCTGAGGCCAGGATCTACAGGCAGGTATCGTGTTGGGGCCAGAACTTGCTAAATACCCAATGTGTAGGACAGCCCTCTACCCCCTTCCAACGAATTGTATTACCCCAGACAGAACGTCAGCTGCGCTGAGCTTGAGAAACCCCCATGTAACCTAATTGTATTAGGAGTTATCTAGTCTGCATTTAACAAGAGGTCAGTTTTTTGAGGGCTGTTGTGGGTTGCATTGGGTCTCCCCCAAATTCCTATGTTGAAGTCAAGTCTTATCCCCAGCACCTCAGAATGTGACTGTGTTTGGAGACAGGACCTTTAAAGTAATTGAATTAAAGCGAAGTCATTGGGGTGGGTCCTAATCTAATCTGCCTGGTGTCCTTATAAAAAGGGGAAATCTGGACACAGACACACACAGAAGGAAGCCCATATGAACACACGGGGAGGGGACAGCCCTCTGACAGGAGTGATGATGCAGCCACAAGCCAGGGGCCATCAGGGCCACCACAGGAGCTGGACAGGCAAGGAAGGATCCTGCCCTAGTGCCGTCAGGGAAAGGTGGCCCTGAGCACACCTGGATTTTATTTTATTTTATTTTTATTTTTTATTTTTTTTTGAGACAGAGTCTCGCTTTGTTGCCCAGGCTAGAGTGAGTGCCGTGGTGTCAGCCTAGCTCACAGCAACCTCACACTCCTGGGCTCAAGCAATCCTAATGCCTCAGCCTCCCGAGTAACTGGGACTACAGGCATGCGCCACCATGCGCCTAATTTTTCTATATATATTAGTTGGCCAATTAATTTCTTTCTATTTATACTAGAGATGGGTCTCGCTCTTGCTCAGGCTGGTTTTGAACTCCTGACTTCGAGCAATCCGCCCGCCTCGGCCTCCCAGAGTGCTAGGGTTACAGGCGTGAGCCACCGTGCCCGGCCTGCACCTGGATTTTAGATTTCTAAGCTCCAGAACTGTGAGATAATACATTTCTATTGCTTAAAGCCACTCAGTTTTGGGTATTTTGTTACAACAGCCCAAGCAAAGTAATACCAGGGCAGAGCCAGTGCTAAATCCAAACTCAGTACTATTGGGCTCTGTACTCTGTGACGATTAAATTAGTTTCTCAGAAAAATAAGAGGCTTTTTTTTTTGTTTTCTTGGTTTTTTTTTTTTTAACCGGGACAGTGGTTAGATCCTCCGAGGCAAGGAGAGGCCAGAATGTTTAGTGTTTTGGACATCACCAGGCTCATGACCTAGCGTTGGCCAAAAACACTTGTTAGGAAAAATGTTCAAAGCCACCGGTCGCCAAAACCTTTCACGGGAAAATGACCCCAGCGTGAAGTGGTTTTTTTTTTTTTGCTAATATTAACTTTGGTTCTATTTCAGATCAATGAAGGCAAAAAACAGGAGATCCAATAAATCTCGCCAAGCCTGTCGTAGCTGTCAAATTATGCCCTGATAAAGCTCCTGGTGGCTAATGGTGTGGCCATCACCCAGATGGACGTGGGTGGGTGGGGGCTTTCCGAGAGCAGCTGGGCCATCGGGGAGACACTTGTCATGGGGTGTCATCTGGAGGCTCCGTGGCTCTAACGAAGGGTGATGCTTTCCACATGATTATCTCCCCGCCAAAATAAATAAATAATTGATAATTTAAAAATAAACAAAGATTGGATTCACAGGCTACTTATTGTCCCAGGGCCAAGATTAATGGTGAGTGGCAAGTTTTTGTGGAGATCGTCTGTAGCCCGATTAGCTGTGCCGGCCGTCCTGAGAGATAATGTCTTTTCACATATAAAAGATCCTATTGATTTCCTGTTAGTATTATCCCGAAAATGTGCAGTGTATATCTATGGAGCAGAGACAATCTTCCATCACTTGTTTTATGGGAAGAGAATGGTTATTGTAGCTCTTCCCATAAAATATAATCTCTTTTTCTCTTCCAAAATCTACTCGTCCCTCTGGGAATTTTCCAGTTGTAATCTGTGGAAGTGAATTGACTTTTTTATTTTATTTTATTTTTTTGCATGTGCCAGTGTTTTTATATTTGGCTTCTCTACATTTTCTCATTGTTCTCTGGAGTCTGGCTTTTCTAGATTGTTATTTGAGCTCGTCTAAAAATAAGTTTAAAAAAAAGAAAAGTCAGTCCCACTGAAATGCACACAGCCACATACACGATGGCGGATGTCAAGTGCCCCTCCTCTGTCCCCTGTTGGAGGCTCATGTTTGTGGGGGCCTGGGAGGGCTTTGGAGGCAGGAAGGAGTTGGTTGCCTGGTATATTCAACAAGGTTCCAATGCGAAAAATCAAGTCACCAAATGAAGGAAGTGCGCTTCCTGCTGCTGGGGTTATCAGCCTTGTGTCTGGGCATTTCTTCAGCATCAATTAATATATAAGGAAGAGTCCTGCATGCTTAAACATCATGCTCTGAACAGTGGCTTCCTACACTGAGTTTGGGTGACAAGACCCCAGCAATGCAGTCCCATCCAGACCTTACCCAGAGAGGTTTGCAAACCTGTGCTCCAGCTGGGACGTCTGCCCTGTGGTTCTACCCAACTCTCCCCTTGATTAATGTAGCCCTGCCCCCAATTCTCCTCCCTGCAGCCCGTCACCAGGTCCCCATCTCCACTTCTTGCCCTCTGCACCGCTTTCTCTTTCTTCCCTTAGCTCCTGTGGTACTTGCGGATTGCACCATCCCAGCTGGCATTGAATTACAACTACCCTTTCTTGCTCTTGGCTTGTTGCATGTGTGCTATTTTACAGCATCACCGCCGCCCCTGTCTCCACGCTTTGCCCTATTCCCACGCCTCCACTTCCACACTGTGCCTGGAGCCAACCACATTTATTTTGCACTATTAACAGATGATTTAAAAAAATATATATATATAGTAATTATATTGTAGCAAATACATATTATATAGTATATGATAACATAAATATAACATAACATATATTCTATAACATATATTATAACATGGATATGTAATATAAATCTCAATGTTATGGCTCCCAACATTTACATAAATTCACATGAATCCTAACCCCCAGTATCTCAGAATGTGGCTATGTTTGGAGCTAGGGTCTGTCAAGAGATAATTAAGTTAAAATGAGGTCATGAGGGGGCCCCTAATCCAATGTGACGGGTGTCCTTGGAAGAGGAGCCCAGGACACAGACAGGCATAGGGGGACACAGGGAGGAGATGCCATCTACAGCCAGGGAGAGAGGCCTCGGGAGACACCAGCCCTGCCCGCACCCTGATCTCAGACTTCTGGCCTCCAGGACTGTGTTGTTTAGGCAGCCCCGCCCTCCTAAACAAACACAATTCGCAGAGTCCGGTGACTCAGGACAAAGGCCCAATCTCTTAGCTTAATATCCAAGACCCTCTATGTCCTTGTCCCGACCCACATCCCCGATCTGTCTTCTTCCCCCAAGTTGCAGCCC